CTTTTGGTAAGATCTCAAATGTTTTCACGTGGCCCTAATCCTCCTCTGTACATGTTCATATCCCTTAACCTGTTTAAAGGTAGGGTAGGTAAGAATGGGGAAACCAGCTCGAGTGCGCTAGAATTTGAAAGTACGCAACCGGAAAAAATCTGCCCCTTCCTTCAGACTTCCTTACAGAGCCCCTCCTCCAACACACACGAACGCGCACATGACCAATGAGGGCACAAGATAAGTTTGTGCACGAGATAGAAGGCTGACCGGCAGGTAGGCCATCCAGTTACTTTAGCCGGGCCGGCTCAGATGATTGGTCGTGCTTTTTACAGTACCACGGCTTCCACAGATGAAATATTTGTATGTATTTATTGTCAAAGCATTTAATATATTCATTGCTATCGGGATGTTAAGAGCATTCCATGAAATATAACAAAGTGTTTCTGAAGGGAATTACCTACCCTACCTTTAAGCCCCGGAAGCTGTGTCTCAGGGCTTAACATTTAACAACCTATTAATGTGTCATACCCACATAACGGGAAGAAACTCAGCTAACTGACCATATGAACAATTTTTACCGAAACACAACTCTAACGCTGAGTGTCTGAATTAGCACTAAGCCAAAGAGTGCTAATGCACTTAGCCCATAACTCACGGTAGAAATATTGTATACTTCATCGGATCTGCACAAACAAGATATCATATGAAAGCTGAGATTCCACCGATTCTAGAGGTATAAGTATCATCACTATGCGACCAAAACCTGTGGTAGCAAAGGCAAAACCAGATGACACAACTTGGCTTTACGGGGCCATAACGGCAAATACGTCTTACCTTTGCTGTTTCTGATCAAAAGTTGTGTTCAATGGCATTAAAACGCATATAAACGCTGCTGAAGGTTAATCCAATGTCTGTCACTTTGAAATGATTACTGATAATCCATCATAACATTTATGTCAAAAACTGAGTTTTCATATAGAGTATGAGAGCTGTAACCCAGCTTCCGGTTTTGGGCATGCAGGCTGCGCATCCTCTCATTCACCAATGGTAATGTTTAGATGGATTCAGGAACTTCCCCTCGATTCTATTGGCTCTAACAGTTCAAAAGAGGTGTCAATCACCAAAATCGACCGATGGGTTCCAGAGATATGGCAAATCCACCCAAATGACCCCAGAAGTGGGTTTCTTTTTCTAAACCTCTCTAAAAAGGTCAAATTTCACTTGTTTTGCATCAATCTTGATACAGGGTACTTATTATATGTTATAGTTTGGATTCCTAAAGCTTTTAGTCTACTATCCCATCATCCAAGTGTGGTTTTCACTATAAGTAATGGGTTTCTTTGGACGTACACTATAATTTACATTGTTTTACTATGTTCAATCTGAATTGACTTTAAAATATAAACATCTATATTGATTCTGACATTTCTACATCCAACTCACAGGTGTATCATTGCTTTGAGAAAAAAGATTATTAATTTTCCCCTTTTAGAAGTGAAGATATATCATTTGTTCAGGGAATGTCATTTTCGAGCCTGAGACCTGAAAAACAGGCTCAGGGCTTAACAGGTTAAAAATAAAGAAAGTACCATTCTCCCAGTTGAACTCATGGTATAGGGATCAAAATAAGTTATTTAGCAGGTAAATTATTTTGCCCACACAGATCTGTTTTAAAGATAAGAAACCTTTTTCTGTGCTACACCAAAACTTCAGTATAGAAGATGTATTCCATTCTGATTAGGGAGGAAGTGTCTACTGTGCATTCAATAACTGACGTAGAGTGCTAAGTCTCTTCTGAATGCACCACATAGAAGGAACGAAGGATAAAGAATGTATGGTTTCAGTCAAAACTAAATAAGTCGAATGGGATGACCTAACTGACCATATTATACCTGAACAACCAATCAGCTGTGTGACAGGACACATGTGCTTCAGTCATCAAACGTTCTTGTTCAAAGCAAGTGTTTTGCTGTTGTTGTTTAGGGGTGGTGGACGAGGCCCCCTACAGCATGATAACAGACTTCCCCTGGCTGAGGACCCTGAGGGCAGCGGACCCCAACAGCTACGCCCGCTACGACTTTGAGGACGATGAAAGCAGTGAGTGCAGTCATCCATCTCTCCTTTAGTACACTCCCTGGGATTGATCCCTGAATGTACACAATTCATGAGCATTGCCCCTGTTGCTGACAAAAAAACATATAAACACTTTTCCTCTTTGTTGTGTTGTGTGTAAGCCACCATCTACGCACCCAGGCGTAAAGGCCAGCTGTCAGCCGACATCTGCATGGAGACCATCGGGGAGGAGATCTCAGAGCGGAGACAGAGCAAGAGAGGAGTCTTTCAGAGGGTCGTAGTCCTGTTCCTCCATCACTGTGACACACCAGGAGAGCCTGTGGACGATGACTACATCTAGACTCACCAGACACTGTCCAGCTGAGCTCCTGACTAGAACTCCTTTTTATGGTTTCATTCGTCTGCTGGATGAGGTTCACATAGCTGACGCTGATTTTCTCATTATTTGAGAAACATCTAAAAGCATTCATGAGCGTCCTAGAACCATACATTTTCAACTAAAAGAAACGTTTAGAATATATGATTTGCTTTCAATATGGCAGACGGGCAGATAGGAATAAGACCTGTCGCTGATCTGTTCCAGTTAAAGTGTTTTATTGACATGCAGAGGAGGGTTCTACTGGTGGCCTGATCACCTGTCAGTCTGCCTACCTCTCACACATGGCCTTAGTCAGAATTATTATTGAATATATTTTAAATGTAGGTTATTCTTTGAGTTCTGAATGGTGATCAATATGAGTAATACTGTATTTTACCTCAGCGAGCATTAAATGGAGAAGAGTCAGATTTTGAGTAGATATGGAGCTGAACAAAGTCTTCGAGCCCCACTGGAAGTGGGCTACATCGTGCTGCTCCCAATCTCACCTAACCAGCCTGACCTGGATACAAATCACAACACTTCCATGCAGATGTAATGTCTCTTATGTTAAGATGGTATGGTTACCACTGACTAAGCAGCGTAAAGGAAGAGCTGGGCTTTGTTACAGTTTGACCTTTCCCAACGACAAAACGAGAACACAACATCTTCCTGGTTGGCTGGTCAACCAGATTACGTAGCTTTAATTTGTTGCCCTTTACCTTTCTCTACTACTGAACCATCAAGCTATTTTTGAAATCTTTTCTCAGAATTTATTTTCGTTTCCTACGTCCAGTGGTGCCCTGTAGGAGAGACTGATGTGGAAAGGGGCGAAGGTTTGAAAAGAAACGTGGTTATAAATCAACAGTGGATGTTTCCTATCAGAGGAACTGATGTGTGTGCAGGTTGAACGAGTCGATCTGTGTGTGCAGGTTGAACGAGTCGATCTGTGTGTGCAGGTTGAACGAGTCGATCTGTGTGTGCAGGTTGAACGAGTCGATCTGTGTGTGCAGGTTGAACGAGTCGATCTGTGTGTGCAGGTTGAACGAGTCGATCTGTGTGTGCAGGTTGAACGAGTCGATCTGTGTGTGCAGGTTGAACGAGTCGATCTGTGTGTGCAGGTTGAACGAGTCGATCTGTGTGTGCAGGTTGAACGAGTCGATCTGTGTGTGCAGGTTGAACGAGTCGATCTGTGTGTGCAGGTTGAACGAGTCGATCTGTGTGTGCAGGTTGAACGAGTCGATCTGTGTGTGCAGGTTGAACGAGTCGATCTGTGTGTGCAGGTTGAACGAGTCGATCTGTGTGTGTGCAGGTTGAACGAGTCGATCTGTGTGCAGGTTGAACGAGTCGATCTGTGTGTGCAGGTTGAACGAGTCGATCTGTGTGTGCAGGTTGAACGAGTCGATCTGTGTGTGCAGGTTGAACGAGTCGATCTGTGTGCAGGTTGAACGAGTCGATCTGTGTGTGCAGGTTGAATGAGTCGATCTGTGTGTACAGATGTCATGGATGACCACATGCTTCCATGGAGTTTATATGTTTATAACGAAAGAACAAGACTATTTCACATTGAAAAATAAAATAACGGAAAAATAAAGCCATTGACTGGTGTTCATTATTAGATCTTCATATTATTTTATACTATTTATATTGGACATGAAAATGGCTCTGTTGATGGTTTAAATGGAAGGGGGTTATTTTTTATATTTATACATTTGTAATACTCTTACCAACATGGGACTGGTAATGATTGCATTATACAAAATGCATGTTTATTATTGTTGCAACAATCGGAAAGCAAGGCTAATTGAAATGAGTTGACTTTAAGGTAATCTGCCTGCAGGCTGTAGCCACAAACAAAACCAAGTGCATTTACCAGAAGCTCTGGAACAGACTCGACGCTCTGCACCTAAACAGACAGGGCGAACTACCACATGATTTTAACAATCAAATCTGTCACTACCACTCGATCTGCAGGAAATGCTATCTGGTATGATTGACCTCCTCCCCTCACACACCTGATCGATTAAAGACCCGTAACAAAACGTCACAGCCCAATTGTTTACATACTTCTCTATCCTCAAGTAATCACTCACATGCTCAACCAATCAGAGTTTTTGATTATAGAGGTTGGTCGAGCTAGTGTTAATTTCGTTGACTAAAACTATGACGAAATATGTTCGTCAACGACCTTTTTTTCCATGACTAAAACCAGACGATGACGAGACGGCACCGACGGCAGTAAACAATAACGAAATCAACATGCAATATCGTTGACGAAAAGTGACTAGACGAAAATGTAGTTTACTAAATAAAAACTATGCCAAAATGAGGAGACTAAATATTATCAAAGATAACGTTACATCTCTGATAGTCAGTTTTTCTCCCAGCAGTTATATTTCCGGTGCTGCGGCTGGGCAGCAGCTGTGTGTCTATGCTGCGCGCTGCGGTACATTTGAATTAAACCGGGCAGCGGCACACTGAACTGTCAGGAAGACTCGGGTCTAACTAACCTTATTTAACAGAAAATAAAATGGCAACAACAGGGCTTGGGAGCAGTGGTCGCGTTAACCGACGGAATACCCCCCCTAATTGTGGGTGATTTTAACATACACGTGTGCTGCCCTTCTGATCCTTTTCATTTGGATTTAATGGAATCCTTTAATATGACCCAATCATGTAAAAGGACAAACTCTGGACCTGGTACTTTCTTCTGGTTTTAATGTTGAAAATGTGGATCTGAATGAGGCAGGTCTATATGTATTGGACCATAAAGCCATTACGTTGAACTGCCTCCTCACACATCTGTCTTCCACAGTGCCAACATCTGTGTCTTTAACATTAACACAGTCAAAAACGTTGAAAAATGCCTTTGCCACTGCCTTCGAAAAAAATCTCCTTAAACCAAATATGGACACAAACGATCTACTGAGCACCTTCAACAGCACCTGCTCCTCCATTCTGTAGGCTACTCCATAGCACCCCCCAAAATAAAAAAAATAAAAAATTAAGCAAACTCTTAGACCTCCCTGGTTAAGCAGCACCACCAAAGAAATAAAGCAACAATGCAGAAAAGCAGAACGAATATGGAAGAAAGACCGCCTCACAGAATCATTTGAAATCTTAAACAACTAATTATGGCAATTTATCACAAAGCTGTAAAACAAGCCTGGTCCTCCTTCTTCTCTGACATTGTTCAAACAAACTACAATAACACACCAAATTCTCTTTAAAACTCTTCATTCCATTTTGAAACCTTCCTCAAACCTCCAGAAAGTGAACAATCTTTAAAACAAATGACTAACACAATTCTTACAATACAATACAATACCAAAGTTGCAGAGGAACATTATATGATCTGGCTCATCACTACAACCCTTCTGCATTTTGTACTCATTTGAAACATTCTCTCTTAGCACTGCACATTAGAGGAAACCATTCACAAACTGAAACCTGCAGATGGGCTCCATGCTGAATTCCCAAAAGAGGTTTTTAACTGGTCCCATAATTGTATCCATTTTGAATAGCTCATTATCCTCTGGTTGTCTCCCACCATGCCTTAAGCATGCAGCAGTCCATCCATTCATCAAAGATCCAAACCTAGACCTTCTGGATTCCAATTTCTAAACTACCTTTTTTAGCTAAGATTTGAGAAGGTGGTTTACACAGAGTTGATCTTCTTTTATGAATCTCAACAACATATTTGATACATTTCAATCAAGTTTTCGGACACAACAAACGGCACTTATCAAAGTCACAAATGACCTTTTTAATTTAAGCAGATTCAGGGGACTGCTCCATTTGAATCCTTTTAGATCTTAGCTCCGCATTCGAGTTGATCATGTTATCCTATTAGATCGTCTTGGAAAATGGGTAGGCATCGGGGACACTGCTCTCAAAGGGTTAAAATCCTACCTATCAGACATTTTCTGTCTCGATTGGGGATAATTCCGCCACTGCAGCGCCGCTAAACTGCGGCGTTCCCCAAGGTTCTATTCTTGGTTCATTATTATGTTCCATCTACATGCTGCCACTAGGGCATATCATACAAATACACAATATTCTATATCACTGCTATGCGGATGATACACAAATATATGTCCCTTTTTAAACTGCAGTGATAAAAGCAATGTGAACAAGCTCCTATCTGGTTTAGATCAAATAAAGTGCTAGATGGCCCAAAACTTTTTCCAGTTAAATGACAAAAAATCAGAGGTACTAATTTTTGGCCATTCTAAACCAGCCCCATCTCTGTAAATACATCTGGGCTCCCTGTCCTCAGACATACAAAATCGTGATTTTATCAGTTACGTATCATTTAAAAAAATTAAGTCCTTCATCTCCCGGTCTGATTTGGAGACAGTCAGCCAAGCTTTTATATCTTGTCTCGATTACTATAACTCCCTAAACTCTGGATTAGGCCCAAAATCAATATCTGGCCTTCAACTTGTGAAAAATGCAGCAGCAACCAAATACCAGAAGGCTGGACCCCATCACCCCTGTTTGAGTCTCTCTTCACTGTGAATCGGTCTGTTTTAGAATTTATTTAAAATGTTACTGTTTTTTTTAAAAGCTCTTAACTGTTTGGCTCCTGATTACCTCCCTGACTTGTTGGGCCCTTACGAGCCTGTGCTCAGTCTCAGATCCTCGGGAGGGGCTTTGCTGGCTGAAAGTAAATGGTGAAGGAGCATTCTCCGTCAGAGCTCCTCAGCCGATCTGAGGCTGGCAGAATCAATGATATCTTTTAAATAATTTGTTAAAAATCATTTTATTAAAGCTTTTAACTAATGATGACACCACTCTGTTTTTCTTAACATCCAGTTGGGCTGAACTCTGCTGTCCCCTGGGACCTGGGACTGGCTCAACGGCAATACAAATCACATCTGCATACGTTCCTTTGTGATTGCTATGTGAGGCCTTTGAATATCAAACTGTTTAAATAACCTTTTTTTACTATTAAATTGAATATTCTTTATTCAGTATCATTTTGTGATTTGCTACCCAAATGTTTTGTGGCAACTATATTTTTTGAAACGATACAAATAATTTGTGTATGTGTTTATTGAAAACCGAAATAAGGATAATTTCTGATTTGATCTTGAGATATACATCTTTCATCCAACAGACTAAGTTTGAACTCTTTGAGGCGGCTTTTCCTGACGAAGCTCCAGAGCAGAGGGGTGACAGATAGCAGAAACACAGAACACCTTCTAATCCCTGCTCTTCCTGCTTTGACAAGTTGTATTGGAGTACAGCCACACACACACACCTTTCCACTGTCAGTAGATGTAAACAGAGTGGAGCTGTTCCACTGGACTTCCTGTGACATTAAACAGATTTCTGGTCCACACAGTGTCTGTATCTCAGTTACAGCCTCCTCTCTGACTCCTTTGTTCTTAACCACTGTTATAAGATATGACTGTATTTGCCTGATCACCAGCTGCTTTAATGAGGGTTACTTTGACCTCGGTTCTGTCTATTTCCTTTCAGTGTCATTACACCTTTCATTTGCAATAAATTATGAAATATTACATTTCATTTGGCTGACGCTTTTATCCAAAGTGACACAATAAGTGCAAAAACCATAACGAATCAAACAGGACAACAAGAAATGTATATATATTCAGTTCAAGCAAGTCATACCATAGTAAGTGCTGTTGAAGTATAACTAGGCCTAAGCTAACTCTATAAGTGCTTTTTAAAGAGGTACAGTTGAAATGGATGCGTTTTCTAGTTTGCAACGGAACATGCTGCTGTCCTGATGTCAATAGGAACATATGCAGAGTTTCTGCTGTCCTGATTTCAATAGGAACATATACAGAGTTTCTGCTGTCCTGGGGGGTATACTACGAAGCAGGATTTTCGCTTAGCCGGCTAAATTCAGGGAAAACTCCGGCTTTCCGGTCCTACGAAGCTGGTTCTCTTTTTAGCAGGCTAGATCTCCATGGTAACTTATGCTTAGCGGCTAACCTGGTCGGGACCAGGGGGGTATACTACGAATCTAGTTCAACCTATCCTAGATATGTTTTGAGTTATCCGGTTGACTTAATCCAAAACAAAGCCGCTCTCGCTAAACTGTCCTACAATGCTGGCTATCAACTCGTTCGCTCAAGCCAGCCGTGTCCTATCTAGCTAGGTGCGCGTTCACATGAAAGGGGTGGTATCTGGAGCATTCGACCAATCACAGCGCAGCGTCATACTTCCTGAATGAAAAGTCAACTATATAATTAATCAAATATGAAGAAGTTAAACTTTAAACATCCATGACTTAAACACTTTATCCAGGATAAAAGCCACAGAGCTGCACCTGCAAGGTGAATACAGCTGGTAAAAGAAAAAATAGTTTGAATGCGTACATTAACAGGTTTATGATATCACTGCCCCGTACAAGACACGAGTGGATCTGACTTTCATTACATTTGACTTGAGTGTTTCGTCAACTTAATGTGTTGCTTAAAATAATACTTCTGCATACAGTATGTGACACTGTGAGTGTTGCACAGCCAGATACGGCTCGGCTGACTCAGATAAGGAAATATATGATACATTATGATGTGATATGAATGATAATGGGACACATCAACGTCTGCACTCACAGTGCCGCGGACTGTAGGCAACGTAATGTTACTTTGATCCAGTTACTTATGTTGTGGCCAGTGGTGTAGTGGGCGTTGGACGCGGGGGTACGCCGTACCCCCACTTATTTGGAGCATGATCTTTTTTTCAATAGTCTAATACATAAAATCATTGCCAGTGTTATTAGTTGCAAGTCTGTATTTGTTGTAATAATGAAAAAAACATAATTCATTTCACAGTAAGTAATTATAATAAAAAATAAAAACGATTTCCTTAAAAAATTATGCTTCGTGATCACGCTCGTGACCCCGCGGCGAACGAGCTCTATAATGGCAGAAAAACATTTTTTACTTTACTTCTTTTCTAAAAAGAATATCATTCACAAGAAGAAAGAGGCTAGCAGCACCGAAGCTACAAGTGAAGCTGCTACTAGCACTACATCATCAGAAGAGCCGTGGATAATGCTAGCACTAACGTTAACGTTAGCTGCGCTAGCAACGTTCCCCTGGCTAGCTCAAGCTCATCTTTCCCAGAGGTATGGACGGAGGAGATGTGGCGGAGGAAACAAGAGGCGTGTGTGTGTGTGTGTGTGTGTGTGTGGTGTGTGTGTGTGTGTGTGTGTGTGTGTGTGTGTGTGTGTGTGTGTGTGTGTGTGTGTGTGTGTGTGTGTGTGCGTGTGACTGTGTGTATGTGAGACTGTGTGTGTGTGAGACTGTGTGTGTGTGAGACTGTGTGTGAAGCAGCGCTGTCTGCTTATTTGCAATGTAGGCTTAATCAGAATAATTTCAAATCCAGATTCAATGTTCTTTGCATAAGTAGGCTATATTTTTCGTTTCGTTTATTTAATACGTTAATTTCAGGACAACTTTGGGAATTTTGTTTGTTTGTTATGAGTTTTAAATAGATTTTGAAAGTGGAGATAGAGAGAGAGAGAAGCAGCGCTGTCTGCTTAGTTGCAATACTGTAGCTTATGCAATTTAGGCCTATACATTGTTTATGTAATGTATGTATCTGTGTGTCCATGGTTTTGAGTCTGTGTGTGTGTTGAGCGCAGCGCCGTCTTCTTTTTGCAGTACAGTAACTACAGTAGGATTAAGCATACATGCCGGTTTCTGTGGACCTGTCTGCCCGTTTTGTGAGTGCACTGCGCGTGTGCGCACTTGTGTGGCATTGTTTGGACCTAATTAAAATAGCGTCCCCCAGTAAAAAAATCCCCACTACACCACTGGTTGTAGCAGATATTTAATTAAGCTTTCTTAACATAATAGTATAGTTATAATAGTCAGATTGCTCTGAAGATGGGAGGTGATGTTCTATTCATTTTCACGTTCACACAGTCGGTGATTTTGGCCGGCCGTCTTTCCTGCAACGGCAGTTTAAACTGTATTTCCTCCGAGTCCGCACACTGAGCTCTGATTGGTCAGCAGGCGTGGTGCTTTCGCTGAGTTGATCTCTTATCCTGGAACCTATCCTGCTTCGGAGCACAGACTAAGTTCCAGGATAAGTCACCATGGAGATCTAGCCCGCTAAAAAGTGAACCAGCTTCGTAGTACCGGAAATCCCAGAAGTTATCTTGCTAAACGAAAATCCTGCTTCGTAGTATACCCCCCAGGTTAGGTTGCAGGCTAAGAGCTCAACTCAGTGAAAGCACTGCCTGCTGACCAATCAGAGCTCAGTGTGCGGAGTTTAAAGCGATCAAGTCATATTACAGGAGAAAGGAAATACAGAAAAGCTGCCGTCGCAGGAAAGACGGCCGGCAAAAATCACCGACTGTGTGAACGTGAACATTAATAGAATATCACCTCCATCTTCAGAGCAATCTGACTATTATAACATTAGCGTTAAGAAAGCTTACTTAAATATCTGCCCAGGCCCGGTTCTACGGGGGTGCATAAGGGTGCATTGCACCCTCAGTTGAGTCGTTATGCACCCTCATTTAAAAATGAAAAGTGAAAAAAACCAAAAAACAATATTACATATATAATAATAATAATAATAATAATAATAATAAGAATTTAGTTGAAATAAAATAAATTGGAATTGTGGTTAAATAACATTGCTGCATTTATTTGGTCCATTTAAACGGTAAGTAACATTATTATGTCAGGTGCGTGTGACCTGTGCCGCTGCGCGTTCGTCATCTGCAAGGTTCTTACAAAGCTATCAGTGTCAGTGATGGACATCAGAAAATGGTTAAAACAACCAGCCCTTATCGCCAGCAGTAACACTGCATCTACTGCAGGTAATAACAGTTCAGATCATGGGGACATTACGTTGTCCGCGGCCACTGTCGTGGACAATAACGCCTGACTCGCCGGCTTTGCCCGCCTCGCCCACAGAGGCGGAGCAGCCGCAGCCGTCTTTGTTGCCCCAAACACCGCCACCCCTCAGCGGCCCGCAAGTGTCAGAGGACCTCGGCAAAACAGAGCCTGCCCAGGTATATTTAAAAAAGTGCCCAACTCGCCTGTAGGCTACTCATTTTGCAGCTCATGGTTTCAAAACAGAAATTGGCTGGAATATTCATGTGAAAAAGATGCCATCTTCTGCTATGCATGTAGACATTTTGGTTCAAGTAAGTCAGATGCCTTCACCACAACTGGCTACAACAACTGGCGCTATGCTCTTATAGGGTACGTGATAAGGGACTGGGAAGGCATGAATCAAGCAAAGAGCACATAGATCCATAGATCTCTTCATTTTGCTCTCAAAGTGCACCAGATTGATGCTTTTAACTTCAATATTTAAAAAAAAATCTTTCCGGGGGAACATGCCCCCGGACCCCCTTGAGGAGGTGAGGACCCTCCTAGAGGAGATGAGGACCCCCTAGGGTGTTAGGTCCACTCCCCACTTGTAAAAATAGCACTTTACCACTGCACCCTCTCTAATCTCAGATGCGCCCTGAGTCATTTTGTTCTGGAACCGGGCCTGTATCTGCCACAACATAAGTAACCGGATCAGAGTAACATTAAGTACAGTCCGCAGCATATCACTTCATAATGTATCATATATTTCCTTATCTGAGTCAGCTGAGCCGTATCTGGCCGTGCAACACTCACAGTGTCACATACTGTATGCAGAAGTATTATTTTAAGCAGCACATTAAGTTGACGAAACACTCGAGACAAATGTAATTAAAGTCAGATCGTGTTTTAGACGGGGCAGTGATATCATAAATCTGTTAATGTACGCATCCAAACACTTTTTCTGTTACCAGCTGTATTCACCTTGCAGGTGCAGCTATGTGGCTTTGATCCTGGATAAAGTGTTTAAGTCATGGATGTTTAAAGTTTAACTTCTTCATATTTGTATTAAAGTTCACTTTTCATTCAGGAAGTATGACGCTGCGCTGTTAGTACGCTTCTCCATGTTTGTGATTGGTCGAATGCTCCAAATACCACCCCTTTCATGTGAACGCGCACCTAACTAGATAGGAAACGGCTGGCTTGAGCGATCCACTTGATAACCAGCATCGTAGTACAGTTTAGCGAGAGAGCGTATGTTTTGGATTAGGCCAACCGGCTAACTCAAACATATCCAGGTTATGTTGAACCAGCTTCGTAGTATAGGCCCCCGATGTCAATAGGGAGCTCATTCCACCATTTAGGAGCCAGGACAACAAACAGGCGTGTTTTGAGGGGGACCTGGGTCCCACTCACAGTGATGGAGTAGCAAGCTGATTGGCTGACGTCGAGCAAAGTGCAAGTGTTGGGCTGCAGTCGAATAGTCCATTTAGCTTAGGAACCTTCCTAACCGAGTGAAATGACCCGGAAGTCCCTCAGTGGCAGCCATGATAAGTGCCGTTCGAATTCTCTAGAATGATAGGAAAGGAGGTTTCAAAGTTCCTTTATAACCTCCTTTAGCTTAGGAACCACTGGACCTCCCTAACCGAAAGGAGAGGAGAAAATGCTGCCCCACAATGCCTTGCAGCCGCTGCATTTGACGTCACTCAACAGTCGGCCGTTCACGGATTATGACGGAGAAATGATATCATGAAAGTTACGGTGCTTATTAAGCTTTTTAAAAACGTA